ACATAACAACAACAACAACAAAACAAACAAAACACCAACTTCTCTAAACTGGAGACTTAACCTCAGGCAGCACCCAATTCACTATTAAATACAAAAGCCAGTTTTTCCAGTTAACTGCTATGCATCTGAGAGCTGGGCGGTGAATAATAATGACAGGAAAAGAATTGACACCTTTGAATTGTGGTGTTGCATAAGAGCACTGAACATCCCATGGATGGCCAAGAGAACAAACAGATACATCTTAGAGAGAGTGCAGCTACAGCGGTTTTTGGAAGCAAGAATGATGAGTCTTTGCCCCACATTCCTTGGGCTTTTTGCTAGGCTGTGCTATTCCTTTAAGAAGAACATGATGCTGGGAAGGGTGGAGGGTCAGCAAAGAAAAGGAATACCCTTCTTAACCAGGTGGATTGACACTGTAATTGCTGCTGTGGGCTCTTGTATGTCAGGAAATATGAAGATGATGCAGAATAGAGCAAGGTTCAGATCTTTTGTTCTTAGGGTTGCTATGAGTCACACTCATCTCAACTGTACCTAACAACAACAGGTATAATAGTACACGTAAATGAAATCGAGCAGAATTTGTTGCAATACAGGATAGTGCAGATGCATTACCCTAACACAACCACCAAGCGCATCCTGCCATCTTTCTAGAACGTTAGAAGTGAATGGTCATAGAGATCACCTCCAATATCTTACACATGGGGAAACTGAGGGAAACAAGATGAGTGACTATATATCCATGGACAGTTGCTGAAAGCAGAGTCCAAAGATGACCTTCATCACTGTCTCAGCTCATTGTTCACTACACACTATGCTGATATCTCTGGTTCTCTTTCTGTCATTTCAGGAAAGCCGCACTCCAGGTCAGCATGAATGATGGCCTCTCTTTCATCTCCAGTTCTGTCATTATCACTACCACACAATGTGTAAGTCCTACCCTTTTCTCTACTCATTGCCTCATTATCATTATCATCAACATTTCTTAGGCGTCAGTATTCTCCACAGATGTTTCTTGACGTTGTGAGATTTGATGTTGTACCGAACGAACTTTTCTCCTTCCTTTCATAAGCCAGAGATGAGCTGGTTTGTGGCTATTATTTTTGTGGAATTTATGAAGAGTACTTGGGTTGGCTTATTCCATATTACCCATTTCTATTGTTAAGGGGAAATCTAATGCTTCTTGGCTAGTTAGTAGGGTGGGTGCAGTGTTTGTAGAACAGTGGGATTGGGTTTGGAAGCCTAGATGGAGTAAGTGTAAGAAAGAATGGACAGGGAAAGCATTTTTCCTGGAGTCTTTGTGTAAAAAGTAGCAGGAAAAGGGACTATTAACTGGAAGAAATGTAGAAACTGCAGAAAAGGGAAAGTTGATGAAGCTGAGGGAGGAAAAAAGAAGCCTGTGCAATAGGCATTATGAAGCAGGAGGGAGGGTATCCACCTCTATATAAACTTCTTGATAATCCCTTCTCTATATCCTTTATTATCTGGCCATTTTCTCTATTAACATGTAATGTCGCATGATTTTTTAAAATGTTGATGCCTTGTTAGGAGCTGTCATCTGTACACCAGTTAAATTATGTCTTGACTGCCCTTGGACTGGCTGAACTCTGAGAGACTGACAATAGGTGACTTGGTAGGCTATAGTGATTCTCAGTACCTTCGAAGAAGGCCTGACTCAACCAAAGTAAAACCCCACTCTGATAACCTGTTGCAAAATGGATAAATATCATTGAAAAGATCTTTCACAGAGGAAGACATTCAAGTGGCCAACAGACACATGAAAAAATGCTCAAAATCACTGGCAATAAGAGAGATTCAAATCAAAACCACAATGAGATACCATCTCATCCCAGTAGCAGTGGCAAAGGTTAACAAGACAGCAACTAATAAATTTTAGAGAGGATGTGGAGAGATAGGAACTCTTGTACACTGTTTGTGGAATTGTAATGTGGTACAACCATTTTGGAAGACAGTTTGGCATTTCCTTAAAAACTGAACATAGAAATTCCATATGACCTAGCTAGTCTGCTTCTTGGAATACACTCCAAGAAAATTAGAAATGAGACACAAACAGAGACTTGTCCACCAATACAGTATTACTATAGCAGCATTATTAATGATTGCAAGATCATGGAAACAGCCCAAATGTCCAACCACAATCAAATAGATTGAAAAATTGTGGTACATTTCCATAATTGGATACTATTTCACATGCCAGAGCACTGATTATGAAATTTACTACCCAACTTGGGTGGGACTGGAGAACATTATGTCAAAGGAACTAACTCGGTCCCATACAGACAAATGCTGTATAAGACCATTATTGTAGAAATAGAAGGATAATTAGTAAAATGTATACGAGAATCCGAGGAGGGGAGGGGAGGAGCATAGGTGTGAGTATGGGCAGGGAGGGGTAATGCACAATTTTACGGGTAGAGGGAGGGGTGGTAAAGGAAATGGTAAAAATCTTGTGTGAAAAACAATGTACACAAACTTTATAAGCAAACAAGTACAACAGAAAAATTGACTTAAAAATAAAACAAACACAAACAACTCAAGGTAAATCAGGGACATACAAATAAAATCAAAGACTATAATATTCATCAGAGAAAAGCTAGGAAAAATTCTAGAAGTCCTAATCCATAGCATTAACAGTCTTCCAATATAATGAAAAACCTACAAAGCTCTATACACATCAAAAAAACTCCTCCAACAGGGTTAAAGGAAAACCACAGACTGGGGAAAAATATTTATCAATGACATATCTGATAAGGGACTCATATTCAAAATTTATAGATTACTCCAGCACCTCAAAAAGGAAAAGGTAAAATACCCAGTCACAAAATGGGCACTGGACATGAACAGACATTTCACTGAAGAAGATATTCAGATGGCAAACAAACACATGAAGAAATGTTCAAAATTCATAGCTATAAGAATGATGCAAATCAAAACAACTATGAGATATAATCTCACACTAGAAACAATAGCAAAGTTCAACAGAGTAGCAAGCAACAAATGCTGGCCAGGTTGTTGAGAGATTAAAACACTTCTTCACTGTTGGTGGGAGTGTAAAATGTTGTAGACACTATGGAAAAAGGTCTGATGTTTTCTCAAAATATTGGAAATAGAAATACAATTTGACCCAGCAATACTGCTATTGAGAGCATATCCTAAAAATTAGAGCCACGACACAAACAGCTGTATGCACATTCATGTTTATTGCTGCATTATGGACAATAGCAAAGAGATGGAAGCAACCCAATTGCTCATCCATAAACAAATAGATATAAATATTACGGCACATTCATACAATAGACTATTAGTAGCACTGAATAACAATGAAGTCATAAAATATTACACAACATGGAAAAGGTAAGAGGACATTATGCTAAGTGAAAGGTCACTGTCACAAAAGGACAGGTATTGCATAACATCACTATAAAATAGATATGTAAAATAGTTATAAAATACAACAGATATAGGGGTGTTGTGTAAAGAATATTTAACTATCCAGAGAACACTGCATTAGAATGGTTGAGTGTACGTACTGTCCAAAAAGAATATATAATTAAGTATTACATGTATGACAACAGTCTGGATAAGGGGTGCCTTGTGGGGTGGGCTGAGAGGAGGGTGAAGAAATGTAAAACAATGAATTAAATAAACTATCATATAATAAGAGATCATGTTGTTGTTGTTGTATGTGCCGTCGAGTTGCCTGCGACTCATAGCGACCCTATGTACAACAGCCCTAAACTCCGCTCTGTTCTGTGCCAATCGCACTGTCTCTGACACTCCCATTCCAATTATCCCAGTCACTGAATCAATCCACCTCATAGAGGGCCTTCCTCTCCTGCGCCCTCCCTCCACCCTCCCAAGCGTGATGTCCTTCTCTAAGGACCGGTCTCTCCTCACAACATGTCCAAAATATGTTAGATGGAGCCTCAGAATCCTTGCCTCCAAGGAGCCACCCGGTTTAACCCTTTCCAGGACAAATCTGTTTGTTTTCCTAGTAGTCTCAATACTCTTCTCCAGCACCACAGCTCAAAGGCATCAATTCTCCTTCTATCCTCCCTGGTCATTGTCCAACTCTCTGATGCATAACAAGTGATTGCAAAGACCATGGCCTGTATAAGACACACCTTAGTCTCCCGAGAGACACCATTGCTCTTCAGTACTTTGGAGAGGTCCCTAACAGCAGACTTTCCCATGGCAAAGCGCCTTTTAATTTCCTGGCTGCTCGTGCCAAGACTGTTGACTATGGAGCCAAGCAAACTAAAGTTGTGTACAATCTCAATCTCTTCACCACCCATCCAGATGCTGCCAATTGGTCCAGTTTTGAGAATCTTTGTCTCCTTGACATTGAGCGTCAATCCATATTATAGGCTGCAGTCCTTGACGCTCTGCAGCAGGCGCTTCAGGTCCTCTTCAGTTTCAGCAAGCAGGGTTGTGTCATCCGCATAACGCAGATTGTTGATAAATCGTCCACCAATCTTGACCCCACATTTCTCCTCATAGAGCTCAGCCTCCCGGATAATCTGTTCTGCATATAGGTTGAAAAGGTATGGAGATAGGATGCATCCCTGGCCTACGCTCTTCCCAATTTTGAACCATGCAGTGTTCCCTTGCTCTGTTCTGACGACTGCCTCCTGGTCCAAGTATAAGTTTCACATTAGAACGATCAAGTTTTCTGGGATTTCCATTCTTCTCAGAGTCAACCATAGTTTGTTATGATCTACACAGTCAAATGCCTTTGCATAGTCAATGAAACACAGATAGACATTCCTCTGGTATTCCCTGCTTTCAGCCAAGATCCATCTAAGATCAGCTACAATATCTCTAGTACCACGACCCCTTCTGAACCGAGCCTGGACTTCTGGTAGCTCTCTTTTGATGTGCTGTTCCAGTCGTTTTTGGATAATCTTCAGTAAAATCTTGCTTGCATGTGAAATCAATGAGATTGTTCTGTAGTTTCCACATTCTGTTGGGTCACCTTTCTTTGGGATAGGAACAAATATCGATTTCTTCCAGTCAGTTGGCCAAGTGGTTGTTCTCCAGATTTCTTGTCACAACTTGGTGAGCACGCCATGGCAGAGATCATATATATTAAAATAAGATTAAAAAATATTGAAGAGCTGAACAAAAGATTTCACAAGGCAGTGCGAGAAGACAAAGTAAAGTATTACAATGAAATGTCCAAAGAGTTGGAGTTAGAAAATCAAAAGTCTCTAACTTGCTCAGCATTTCTTAAGCTTAAGGAACTAAAAGAACAAATCCAAACTTCAGGTTCCAATACTTAAGGATGCTTTGGGCAGAATATTAAATGATCCATGAAGTATTAAAAGAACATGGAAGGAGTATACAAAGTCACTGTACCAAAAGGAATTGGCAGACACAGAAGAATTTGATGAAACAATATATGAGCAAGAGCCTATGGTGATGAAGGAAGAAATCAAGCTGCTTTGAAAGAATTGTCAAAAAATAACGCTCCAGGAATTTATGGTATACCAACTGACATATTTCATCTAACAGATGCTGCTTTAGGATGTGCTCACCAAGTCGTGCCAAGAAATCTGGGTAACAACCACTTGGCCAGCTGACTGGAAGAGATCTGTACTTGTTCCCATTCCAAAGAAAAGTGATCCAACAGAGTGTAGAAATTATCAAACAACATCATTGATTTAACATGCAAGCAAGATTCTGCTGATGATTATCCAAAACGACTGGAACAGCACATCAACAGAAAACTTCCAGAAGTGAAGCCTACTTTTAGAAAGCGTCGTGGTACCAGGGATATTGTAGCTAGTGTTAGATTGATTTTTGCTGAAGGCAGAGTGTACCAGAGGAATGTCTATCTGTGTTTCATTGATTATGCAGAGGCATTTGACTGTGCGGATCACAACAAACAGTGGCTGACTTTGAGAAG